TGATTCTTGCACAGTGACTGTGGGACTGACAGAGAACACTGAGCTGGTGAGGTAACCAGATGGCATGAGCCTTTCTCACCCTTTTCAGGCCTCAGGGAGGTGGCAGAACACCGTGTTAGCATCAGGGCCTCTGGAATACAGTGGGGCTCCAATCCTGGCTCCACCAGTGACTACCCATGTGGCCTTGGCTAGGTCAATTAATCTCTCTGTGCCTCACTTGCCTTATCAGTAAAATGAAGACATGCTAATACCCACAAGGGAAGTGCTCATAACAAGGCCCACCACAGGTACCAGAGCACTCCTTATACTTCAGCACCGTTATCATTTCTCATTTGAACAATGAGGGGGTTGTAACAGTCTGAGGCAGAGACTCTCAAACTTTTTGGTCTCAGAATCTCTTTACGCTCTTAAAAATTATTAAAGACTCCAAAGAACCTTTTAAAAATGTGTGTATCTATCAATATTCTTATTAGAAATTAAAATTAAAAAATACTTTAAAGATACTCATTTACTTAAAAACAATAAACCCATTACCTTGTAACATAAATATTTGTAAGAAAAATAAATATATTTTTCCAAAAAACGTGGAAATGTGACATTGTTTTACAATTTTACAAATCTCTTTAATGTTTGTTTTAATTGAAGACAGCCAGATTCTCTTATCTGCTTCTGCATTCGATCTGTTGAAATGTGCTGTTAGCTTAAAGTATGAAAATCCTAGCACCTCACCGATCCCTTCAAAGTCTCTGGGACCCTGGACCACACTTTGATAACCATTATTTTAAGCTTTCTTCCGGTTCTAAATCATTCATTCACTCACTCACTCATTCAACACTACTGGATCCCAGAGACAAACATGAACCACGTGAGCCATGTGGTCACTTCCTTGGAGGAGTCTAGCTAAGAGAAAACAAGTTAAAAATTACAGCACAGCATGAATGAGCACAGAGGAGGAAGTTAGGAAGTTACTGGTGGGCCTAAGGGAGGCAGGGAAGGCTTACCCAAGTATAGGGAATTTGAATTTCCTATGCTCCCTCTAAACAGAAGGAAGAGCACATGCAAAGGCCCAGAGGCAGAGATCAGTGTAGCACAAGAAGGAACCACAGGGTGCCTTGGCGGAAGGAAAAGTCAGTGCACTGGAAAAGCATGTTGGGCATCCTATAGACTACAGGAAACTGGGGTGATGAGAGCTTGCTTCTCTTTTTTTTTTTTTTTTTTTTGAGACAAGGTCTCGCTCTGTTCCCTGGGCTAGAGTATGATGGAGTCGTCATAGCTGACTAAGACCTCAAACTCCTGGGCTCAAGCCATCCTCCTGCCTTGGCCTCCCAAAGTGCTAGGACTACAGGCATGAGCCACCGTGCCTGGCCTGCTTTTCTTTTTTTAAAGTCTGATATAATTTACAGAAAAGTAAAATGTATCATTTTAGGTGTATGGTTCTGAGTTTTGACAGACTTACCCAGTTAATGTTAAACAATACCACAATCAAGATATAGAATATTTCATCACCTCAAAAAGTTCTCTGTAGTCAATATACCTGCAGGTAACCACTGATCTGATTTGTCCCTATAGTTTAATTTTTTACCTTGAAATAATTATATACTCACAGGAATTTGCAAAGAGGGCCCATGTACACTTTTCCCAATGGTAACATCTTAAAAAACCATGAAAAAGGCCAGGCGCAGTGGCTCACGCCTGTAATCCTAGCACTCTGGGAGGCCGAGGCAGGTGGATCGCTCAAGGTCAGGAGTTCGAGACCAGCCTGAGCAAGAGCGAGACCCTGTCTCTACTAAAAAATAGAAAGAAATGATCTGGACAACTAAAAATATATACAGAAAAAATTAGCCGGGCATGGTGGCACATGTCTGTAGTTCCAGCTACTCGGGAGGCTGAGGCAGAAGGATCGCTTGAGCCCAGGAGTTTGAGGTTGCTGTGAGCTAGGTTGACGCCACGGCACTCACTCTAGCCCGGGCAACAAAGTGAGACTCTGTCTCAAAAAAAAAAAAAAAAAAAAAAAACCAAACATGAAAAAATACAAAAAACCAGGAAATTGACATTGGTACAATACTATCAATTATACTTCAGACCTTATTCAGATTTAATCAGTGTTTACATGCATTAGCTTGTTTTAAAGAATATAACTAGGCCATAGTATGAAAGAAGGGTTGAACTGGCAAGGACACAAGTTAGCTACTATTGTTCAGAGGAAAGGAGAACTTGAGGTGCGAGGAGAGGACAAGAGAAAAACATTTCTGGAGTGGAATAGAAATCATCTGGTGGACAATTTGGTATAAAAGTTTAAATTAGGCCAGGTGAAGTGGCTCACACCTGTAATCCTAGCACTCTAGGAGGCCAAGGCGGGAGGATTGCTTAAAGCCAGTGAGTTCGAGACCAGCCTGAGCAAGAGGCAAACTCCATCTCTAGTAAAAATAGATAAAATTAGCCGGGCATGGTGGCACACACGTGTAGTCCCTGCTACTTGGGAGGCTGAAGCACGAGGATTGCTTTAGCCCAGGAGTTTGAAGATGCTGTGAGCTGGGCTGACACCATGGCACTCTAGCCTGGGCAACAGAGCAAGACTCTGCCTCAAAAAAATAAAAAAGTTTAAATTAATCCTTTTTTTGGAAATGAAATTTCCCATATGGCAGGACAACAAGCAGAACAACAAGAAGCTGTTTACTGTTTTAAAGTAAACAGCCTGACCTCTAATTGAATAACGGTCATGAAAACCCCAGATAACTATAATATTCCTGCTTACTCTTATTAAAACAGGAGTAAAAATGTTTAGTTACTTTCATTTCCTTACTTTTGCCTGATTGAAAATGATGAAATAACTATCAAAAACCTGATATTCCATGGGATTTAGAAAAAGTTATTTGTTTAAGATTGGCTAACCCTTCACCAAAGCCAAACAAACTAAACATCTATACTTACTCTTATTCCTTACTGGAGTTGAGTATTTTTGTAAGCTTTTTTATCTGCTCCAACATTTTACCAGACTATATTATTGATAATGCTTAATATCTATATAGTTTATTTATAGACATCACTTACTCATATGAGACAGTGGGGTAAGTGCTGTCCTCACTTTTATAGCCCAAGAAATTGAGGCTCCTAAGTGGTATCCAGGATCACGTATGTCAATACCATAAAATGCCTAGAAAGGTGCAGGCACAGGGTAGGCATTCAATTACTATAGCTATTCTTGTTTAAATCTTTGTTCTCTCTAGTCCAACAAACCCCATTTATGGCCAGGTTGGACTTCTTTCTACAATTCTTTCTACAATTGTGCAAGAATAAAATTTAGGCAAAAGCTCCATATATGCAATGGAAGTATTTCTGGTGACAAAGTCCTCATTTAAACCCTAGTTTATCACTAGTTACTACCAAATACAATCCCTTGGGTAGATCTGAGTGACCTGATACCCATTTCCTTAACTTTAAGATGAGTTTTTTAATATCTTTGAAATCAGGAAGTATCTTAAAACCAAATTAATGAAATATGGTAACAACCTTTTTACTGTGTCCTGTGCTAGGTATTTTATATACATTTTAGCATTTAATCTTCCGAACATCTCTTATTAAAAATGTCTGTTGTTATGCCCACTTTAAAGACAGGGAAGTCAAGGCACAAGTCTCTTGCCCCAGGTCACACAGCCTGGCTGACAGGATAAGAGCACCCCAAAGTAAGCAGTACCCTGTAACTCAATTTCAGTAGACTTAGCTCAGGGACACAGTCTATTTTATCCACCCCCTCCCCCATTTCAAATGGACAAAGATAACCACCAAAACCAAATAAACAGACAAATGCTGACTCAGCAAGGTTAAATTACTTGTCCAAGGTTACACAGAGGATATCAGAACCAGAATCCCATGGCGGTGATCTGTCTTGACTCCAAAGCTCGAGATCTATTTCCACCAAACCACACTACCACCACCAAGCCACGTGGTAAGGGGAAGTATAAATATTTGCTGAATTAATAATGCCTGAAAACAAAGTTGATAATAAGGAAGGGGGTAAAATGGAAAGAGTTGTAAATCGGAAAAGCAGTCCACGGGCAGGAAACAAAAAAACCCGTTTTCAAGGCAGTGCATTGACGGTGAGCCAAGGCGCTGGAACAAACTTTGCGCGGGTCCCGCAGGACTCCCAGGCTGGCCGCGGCGGAGTCTTCAAAGTGATGGTTCCCAAGGTGTCGGCTTTGGAGTACGACAGCCAAGCCCTGCCGCCTCCCGGCTTCCCTCCCGCGCCCACGCCCTCCCGACCACGACTAACCAGGCCGGGGAACACCGGGCGACTACCGGAGGCCGGCCGCCTTCCCCTTCTGGGCTCCTGGCTTAAAAAATAAACACAAACACACGTCCCCAGGCGGTCCGTGGCCTCTTCTCGAGGCGGGAGCTCGCTGCCCGCGCCGGCCCGCCGGCAGCCATGCACCAGGGGACAGGAGCCTCTCGGGGTCGCAGCTCGCCTGTGGGCCGCACCCAGCCGCCACGGTCAGCCCAGCCCAGCGCGATCGACACCTACAGCCTGGGCCCAGATAGGTCCCAGGCAGGACTGGGGGCGGCGGGGCAGGCGGGCGTCCCTCAGGCAGGGCGGGCGAGCGGCGGGAGCCGGCCGCCGGGCATTTCCTTTTCCTCCCTACGCGCTGCGCGGCAGAGGCCGGGCTTGGGCGCCCGACAGCGGCCTGCTGGCGAGCGCGGGGAAGCGCAGCGCCCCGAGCCGCCGCCGCAGCCGCCGCGCCTCTCCAGCCGCGACCGCCGGCGGCTGGGCCCGGCGCGGGCAGCGAGAGGCGGGGCCGGCGTGCGGGCGGCGGAAGGAGGCGGAGGAGGAGGAAGAGGAGAAGGAGGCGGCGGCCGGGAGCCGGGGGAGAGGG